GCTGGATCAAATGGGAGCTCAATTTCTAATTTTTTGAGAATTGTCCATACTGTTTTCCAAAAGGGCTGAGCAGCAGTGAAAGAGGGTCCCTTTCTCGCCACATCCACGCCAACACCGGTTGCTTTTGTTCTTTTGGATGTGGACCAGTCTCTGTGGTGTGAGATGATATCTCATTGTTGTTTTGATCTGCATCTCCCTGATAATTAATGATGTAGAGCATTTTCTCATGTGCCTTTTAGCCATTCGTATTTCTTCTTTGAGGAAGTTTCTGTTCATTTCATCGCCCCATTTTTTGATGGGGTTGGATGTTTTTTTCTGGTGGAGTTCAACCAGTATTTTGTATATCCTTGATATCAACCCCTTATTGGATGGGTATTGGGTGAATATCCTTTCCCATTCTGTAGACTGTCTTTGTATTTTGGTCACTGTTTCTTTTGAGGTGCAGAAGCTTCTTAGTTTAAGATAGTCCCATTTGTCTATCTCTGATTTCATTTACTTGGCCAGTGGCATGTCATCTTTGAAGATAGCGTTAGCTTAAATGTCGTGGAGGGTTTTGCCAACCTTGTCTTCAACGTACTTTATGGATTCCGGTCTGAAGTTGAGGTCTTTAATCCATTTTTATCTTACTTTTGTACATGGTTTAGGCAGAGATCTGAGCCTATATTTTTGCATCTAGCTGTCTAGTTTTACCAGCACAATTTGTTAAAGAGGCTTTCCTTGCTCCACTTCACATTTCTTGCTCCCTTATCAAAGATTCTATGATCATATGTTTGGGAGGAGATGTCAGTATATTCAACCCTGTTCCATTGGCCTGCAGCTCTGCCTTTGTTCCAGTACCATGCTGTTTTAATTATTACAGCTTTTTAGTAGAGTTTGAAGTTAGGGAGGTTGATTCCTCCCATTTTCTTTTTCTCAAGAATTGCCTTAACTATTCGTGGGGGTGTATTGTTCCATATGAGTTTCAGGAGTGTTTACTCCATTTTATTTTTTTTTTGAAGAATGTCACGGGCATCATTATTGGGATTGCATTGAATTTGTACAATGCTTTGGGGAGTATTGCAATTTTGACAATTTTAATTCTCCCGATCCATGAGCAGGGGATATCTTTCCATTTCCTCATGTCCTCTTTTATTTCCTTAAGTAGTGTTTTGTAGTTTTCTTTGTACAGGTCTTTTACTTCCTTAGTTATGCTGATTCCTAGGTACTTGATTTTTGTGGGGCACAATTGTGAACGGGATTGTTAATTTCATGTCACTTTCTTCTCTCTCACTATTTGCATATAGGAAAGCCATGGACTTTTGGGTATTGATTTTATAGCCTGCAACTTTACTATACAAGTCTATTGTTTCTAGGAGTTTCTTGGTAGAGGTTTTAGGGTCCTCTTAGTATCATATCATCTGCGAATAGTGAGAGCTTAATTTCTTCCTTTCCTATCTGAATGTCCTTAATATCTTTTTCTTGCCTAAACCGCTATTGCAAGTACTTCCAGTACTATATTGAACAGAAATTGTAAGAGTGGGCATCCTTGTCTCATCCCTGATCTTAAAGGGAAGGTTCTCAGTTTTTCCCCATTGAGGATGATGCTTGCTGTATGCTTGTGGTCGATGGCTTTAACTATATTAAGAAAAGTCCCCTCTATACCCATTTTGGCAAAGGTTTTCATCATAAACAGGTGCTGGATCTTGTCAAATGCTTTCTCTGCATCTAGTGATATGATCATACAGTTTTTATCTTTTCTTTTGTTGATAAGGAGGATTATGTTTATTGATTTCCAAATGTTAACCATCCTTGCATCCCCGGGATGAATCCCACTTGGTCATGGTGTATAATCTTTTTTATGAGTTGTTGAATTCTATTTGCTAGTATTTTGTTGAGAATCTTTGCATCCTTGTTTTTCAGGGATATCAGCCTGTAGTTTTCTTTTCTTGTGGTGTCTTTGTTTCCTTTTAGTATTTTAGAGAGTTATGGACTTCATAGAAGCTGTTTGGGAGAGTTTCTCTTTCTTCAATTTCCTGGAAAAGCATGAGAATAACTGGCAATAGGTTCTCTTTAAATGTTTGGAAAAATTCGCTAGTGAATCCATCTGGACCTGGGCTATTGTTTTTGGGGAAACATTAATTTTAAATCCCCCCAAGAAAAAGACTTTGGTCCAGATGGATTCCCTAGTGAGTTGCACTTCAAAGAAAACTTACTCCACGTAATTCTCAAGCTCTACCAAACTATATACATATATGTATTACAGATTTATGTATATATATATATACATACATATGTATATAAATCCTTCCTAACAGCTTCGATGAAATAAACATTATCCCAATCCAAAATAAGACAAAAATAGCATTGAAAAAGCAAGTCACAGACCAACATCCTCAATGGTGATTGATGTAAAACTTCACAACAAAATCTGTCACTGTCAACTGCAATTGTTTGTTCATTGCAGCACTCTTTACAATAGCCAGAATCTGGAAAAAACCTGAGTGCCCGAGAACAGATGACTGGTTGAAGAAACTTTGGTACATTTACACAATGGAGTACTATGTAGCTGTTAGAAAAGACGAAGTCATGAAATTTACAAACAAGTGGTACTACATGGAAAGTATCATGTTAAGCGAAATGAGTCAGAAAGAGCGGGATAGACACAGAAAGATTGCATTCATCTGGGGAACATAAAGCAACAAAACGGGAGACTAACACCCAGGAATGACTGAGATTAGTACCAGGAATTTTGCTCCATGACTTGAAGGCCAGCCACATGTGCTAGGTGAGAAGGAAGCTCAGCTAGAGAAGAGAGCACCAAATAAAGGGTGTTGTGAAGACCCTCCCAGGGTGGGAGAGACATGCTAAAAGCAGTCTATAGACCAAACATGATTGCCACTCAATGCCTCTCTGGCAAAATACAGTACCCAAAAGAAGAGAGGGAGAACAAGGGGGAATGCCCTGCCACAGCGGCAGGGTGGGGGGGGGGGGGATGGGGGGGTGGGAGGGATGCTAGGACCCGTGGTGGGGGAGGATGGGCACTGGTGGAGGGATGGGTACTTGATCATTGTATAACTGAAACCCAAGAACAAAAATTTATAAGTCTATAACTGTACCTCATGGTGTTTCACTAATAAAAAAATGATTAAATAACAAAAAAAAAAATCTGTCACTGTCCTCCCATTGTTCATCGATTTGCTCGAGCAGGCCCAGTAACGTCTCCATTTTGAGACTTGTTGTTACTGTGTTTGGCATATTGAATATGTCATGAATAGCTTACCAGGCTTTGCCGTGCGGGCAAGATACTCTTGGTAGCTTGCTGGGCACTCCAAGAGGGGTGCAGGAATCGAACCTGGCTCAGCCGGGCTGGCTGCGTACAAGGCAAATGCCCTACGACTGTGCTATCGCTCCAGCCCACAACAAAATCTAGGTGAACAAAACTCAATAATATATTAAATGGATGATCAAGTGAGATTTATCACAAGGAAGCAAGGATGGTTAAATATACAAAAATTAATTTTTATACTCTATAGGATCGCATTTATTTTCTTTTAAAAAGCACAAAACTGCAGAAAAGAAAATATCAGTGGGTTCCACGTTTAAGTGAAGAATAGGTGTGATTTTTTGAGGCGTTTTGATTTTATAAAGGTGGAGTGTTTGGGGTTTGTTTGGGTTTTTTGTTTGTTTGCTTTGTCTTTTTGGACCACACCCATATATTGGAGTGTTCAGGGATTATTCCTGAGTCTGTACTCAGGATCACTCCTGGTAGGGCTCAGAAGGCCTTATGTGGTGCAAGGGATTCAGCCTGGGTTGGCTATGTACTATGTGCAAGACAAGCACCAGCTGTACTATCACTTTGGCACCATTTCTTCCTTTCTTTTAAAAAAAAAGATTCTCAGATTTCTAGCTGTTTATATAATAAAGTGTCGAACATACAATGTTCCAAGCATTCCCAACACTAGTATCAAATTTCTTCTACCAATTGCCCCAATTCCCTCTCATCTCCCAGCCTACCTCCTTAACTGGTATGTCTTTCAATTTGTTTACTGTAGTTTGGTTCTCTTACAGTGCGGTTTAGATACATACATATACTCACCTCTATATAACTGACGTGCATAAGGCCCTTGCCCCTGTTATCTCCCATATGCTTCTTAATACTCCTCCTTAATTTCTTTCCTTCCCTGTCCTATTTCTAAAATATAGGGTCAAGAATAATCTAGGTATTTTCATTTTGATACCATTATTTCCTTATCCTGTTATTCTATATATAAGTGAGGTCATTTGATATTTGTCTTTCTTCTTATTTCACTAAACATGATATCTTCCAGTTTCATCCAAGTGGCAGCATGTTGCATAATTCCATAATTCCATAATTCCCTGCAGTTGCATAATATTCATATAATATATACATATATACACACACACACGCACATATATATAGCTTTATTATCCACTCAACTGCCACTGAAGACTGAGTTGATTCCACATCCATGCTATTATAATAAGTGCTATAGTGAATAATGTTGTACATATGTCCTCTTAAAGAATGTTTTTGTGTATTGGAAGAAGATACCAAGAAGTGAAATTGTTGTGTTGTAAGGCAACTATATTATTACTTTTCGGAGAAATATCCATACTATTTTCCACAGTTGTTGAAACAGACACAATGTCACCAGTAGTGGATGAGAGTTCTTTTCCACCACATCCCCACCAACACAGATCATTCCCAGATTTTTGTTGTTATTGGTTAAAAATAAATAAATAAAAGGGTGCCACTCTCATTGGTGTGAGATATCTCATTGTTGTCTTGATTTGCATTTCTCTGATAAGAAGCATTGATGAGTGCTTTTTCATATGTCTATTGATCAGCCATCTCTTCTTCAGAAAAAGTATGTGTTCAATTTTTTATTGGGTTTTTTGATTTTGTCCTTGCTGCTGCTGTTGACCTTTGTAATTGCCTTAATGACATTGAATTTCTTCAGACTTTCGTTCACATTTGACTGTAGTCTTTTATTTCACAGGCCTAAGCCCCACAGAGCTTCCATTCGACTGCTTGGAGAAGACAAGCCGAATGCTCAGTTCCACATACAACTCTGAGAAGGCCATTGTGAAAACATGGCGTCACCTTGCTGAGAGTTTTGGACTTAAGAGGGATGAGATTGGGGGCATGACTGATGGCATGCAGCTATTTGACCGTATTAGCACAGCTGGCTACAGCATCCCAGAACTGCTCACAAAACTGGTGCAAATTGAGCGGCTGGATGCTGTGGAGTCCTTGTGTGCAGATATATTGGAGTGGGTGGGTGCTGGGCCACCTGCCTCCCCACCACCCACCACATCCTGAGGAGCATGCCCAGGAACTAGTCTCCCTACAATGCACTGAGAAGTGAACCAGGAAAAGCTTGGAGCTATGGGTATACCAACAGAACGCCGATCCTCGTGGAGAAATTGTCTTGGGGTATGCTTCATATGACTTCAAGGATACAAGGCTAAAGAAAGATAATCTGGAATATTCCCAACTACCCATCTGTTTCTCATCAGGAAGAATGAATATTCAGCCAGTCAACCCAACAGGAGCTCATTTGAGAGACCTTGCTGAACTCTCAAATGAACCAAACAGTATGTAGATGACAGGTGAAGAGCCTGTCTTCTTTGGCGTTTGAAACCCAGTGAGGGATGGGAGGTGTGTCTCTAAGCCACATGTAGAATAATTCTAACAATCTGAATGAGGGAACAGGTAGTAAGAGAACATAATAAAATTCTAACAGCAGGGACACCTTTCCACTGGCATGGGGAAGAAGGGCACCCTCATGAAGAGAGCAGCTCGAAAAAAGTTTAGTTTTTCAAAAAGGCTGCAAAGAGTGATTATACAGCAAGCTGGGCACTTGCCTTGCACGTAGACAACCAGGGCTCGATCCACAGCCTCCCATATGGTCCCCTGAGCACCGCCAGGAGTAATTCCTGAGTGCAGGGCCAGGAGTAGGCCCTGAGTATCTCCAGGTGTGACCCAAAAAGCCAAAAAAACAAAAGGTAAAAAAGGCTACAAACTGTAGATGTCTATGAATTGCTGCAGGGTCTGTAGAAATCTGCTAATATCCTCAGTGATTTCACTGGGATGACATTGCTTATTCTTGAGGTCTTGCTTATTCCTAGAGCCCTTCCATTTACTAACGAAGAAGCTGCCCATGCAGCCTGCTTTATGTCACTGACACACGGGTGTATCCAGGAGACTGTGCAGTAGCCTTTTCCTGATGTGTGCTAGGGCAGGGGACTTGGTGGGATTTCATGACCTGTGACTTGCCTTCCATGCTCATCCTTCATCAGATCTGATCCTTTGGGAACAGCAATGCTCAGGGACATAAATAATTTACATGATGAGTCAGGCTACGTTTTTGTTCCAAATACAAATGAGTGACCAACTCTGCTTAAAAAGGTAAATGATGACTAGAATTTGGGTGTCTGAGACGTGAATGAACCTCGTGATCAGGGGCTTCTGAGCCATTGGAGCATGAGGTCCCGGAGAACTAGGTAGGACAGCAGAGCAGGGGCCCAGGAACTTCTTTCCTTTTGTGCCTACTTGAGCCATGTTTTCCTTTCTCCCGGGCCTTCTGAAAATGAGATGCTTATGGTTTTAGAATCAGGAAAAGTAAGGTTAAGGTTCTAGAGGGAACACCAGGCCTTCAAGGCCCTCCTGAAGTGAAGACAGTGTGAGTCATCAAATAAAGTGGAATAAAACAGAAAATATCATATTTGGGGGTTTCACAGTAACTGCAACTGTTTGGCATATGTTTAAAGATAAAGTTAATAAACAGCGCTGTGCTTGGCAAATTCTCTTACCACACCTGCAATCGCCTTGAGCTGGGGAGCTGGGGTAGTGATCACAGCAGGGGGTAATTGAGAGTTCATGCTGAGCTTCCTAATGACAGGTCTTACTGTGATGATTGCTAAATTAAAACCAGCCTTTGACTTAAAAAGTGATGCTTTCAAAATTACAAGTTGCATGGCAGAGCATATGCTTTGAGGGATAAAATCAGCCATATGCTTTTTTTTTTTTTAAAAATCAGTCATATGTTTAAAGTCAACAAGTAATTTCCCACCAATGAATGTAGAACATACTGTGATAGGATCATAATTAGGTCCTGAATATTTAATTTCATCAACTGCTGCTGTTTTCCAGAGCCTATTTGGTATATCTGGAAAACTAAATCTTCCACAGCAAAGCTTAATTATCCTTTTAATTTCTCTTTGAAATCCTACAGTGTTCCTTTCCCCTGTTTTGTGATAATGATTTTGAGTCCCCCTAAATTAGACTAGAAGTATCACGTGCAGGGAACAACTTTGCAGTTTTTCAAAACTACATTTTCAATGAAGGAGTCGTGCAGCTGCCTCTTGCCCCAGGAGTACATCTAAGCTCACACTCATAGAATTCTGAGGCCAGAGTCAAGCCAGCTTCACACTGGGACTGTCTCCTGCTATGTGCAGAAAGCTCTTTCAGAGTGACACGTTCCTTTTCCATTTAATTGTTTAGAAGAAAATCTCAGAAAGGATTTTTTCTAATGAACTTTAGCTTACAGTAAGGAATTAAATAATAACATAATGATTAACACTGACCAAAGCTGGGACTCTTAACCTGTCACTCTGTATAGAAAGAATCATTGTTTTTGCAATACTCAGATGCAATATAAAACTTCCAGGCTACAGCTGTGATCCTTAATTGATGAAGTCCTAAGTTTCAATACTTTAGTCGAATTCTGTATATATAATTTATTATATGTTATATTTTCAATGAATAAATAATCTACAGACTGCTACAATGTGAACTCTTTGTGTGTGGGTGTGGGAGGAGGAGACAGATGAATGAGAGGTTTTGATTGCTCCCTTCCTTTGTTCACTGTGTTTGGTAAGACTGCAGAGTTGTCTGAAATATAGGGCATCAACTGCACTATCCGCAGCTACAAGGCACAAAGAGATCACGTGAAAATCACAACACACTCTCCACGTGGACAAGTGTGTTTACAAGACTTTATGTCACTTAGCTATTTCTATGTAACGAACTTCTGTTTCAAACTTCAAGGACTTGAAGCAACACCAAATTCTAACTGGAAGCCCAGAGGCTATAGAGGGCCCTAGCTGACAGGTCAGTTTGGCTGAGCCTCAGCTGAGGCCTCTGTCTGCTTTGACAAGTGGGGCAATACTGCTCCTTATCACTCTTGTGTCCAATCATCTTGTCTAGGAACATATTTATCATGGCAACAACTAAAGAGGAAAAGAGGACACAGACTATTTAGGCCTAGACTCCAAGTATCATTGCTTCTAGTACATTCTACTGGTCAAAGTAAACAACATGACCAAGTTTTGTAGCTCCCAGATCATGGGGACCATGTTGTGGGTCTGTGGGTTCTGCCCTTCATTCACCACTTGTAGAACACCTTCCTGGGAGTCTCTGGGTCCTGGAGTTGAAACAGACCCGTGATGAGGTGAGCCCAAACAGATTCCACATACTTCATTGTCTCTTCCACCTTTTCTTCCCCCCTCAGGCTGGTTCAGGATCTCCTAGCAGCAGACCTCCCCTAGCTAGCAGAGGCTTCTGCAGCTCCCTGAGGCCTCTGCAGCTCCCTGTTCTCTCTTAGCTACAGTTCTACTGCCTTGCTCCCAGGATAAAAGTTATGTCCCCCAGGGTTCCCCTCAGCTCTGTGTCTCAGAGGGAGGGGCAGCCTCTGTCCCTCAGGGCTACCTCAGTTCTGTCTCAGGGGGAGGGACAGCCTGTGTCCCTCAGGGTTACCTCAGCTCTGTTTCAGGGGGAGGGGCAGCCTGTGTCCCTCAGGGTTACCTCAGCTCTGTGTCTCGGGGGAAGGGGCAGCCTATGTCTCTCAGGTGTCTCCCAGCTCTGTGTTCTCAGGCAGTGGTGGGTTAGCCTAAATCTCCCAGGGCTCCACACTCTGTGCTCTCTGGGGCTGGGCCAGGAGCAACCTCCTCCACCCTGCTGGGTTCTAAGGGCTCGGCTCTGTGACTCTGTGACCAGGGACAGCTTCTAGCAGGGGCAGCACCTCTTAGCTAACTTACATGTGCATTTCCTTTTCTCTCAAGTACCAACCCAAGGAGGATTGTTTTATTGTTTGTGGTTTGGGGAACACACCCAGGGTTGCTCAGTGTTTTCTCCTAGCTTTGTACTCAGGGAGTACTCTTGACAAGGCTGCTGGGAACTATACGCAGTGTTGGGAATCAAACCTCCATGCATGGGACACACGCAAGTAAGTGCCTACACCCTGTGCTATCTCTCCAGCCTGAGGAGAGGTCTTTTCTAGGGAAACCAGGCAAAGACAGCTCTGTGCATGAGTATTCAAGATCTTGCTGTTTCCTGAGTCCCATTCTCAAGATCCCTCTGTTATGCCTAACCAAGATTCAGTTTGCCCAGCTGCATGGCGCCCTTCTGTCCAAAGCGCTTAACTTCTGCTCCATGTGGGAGAAAAGCTTAATACTTTATCATAAGCTCCGGAGATTAGTAAGCTATACACAGAATTGTCACAAATAAAGGATTCGGTAGATGAAATAAAAAACTCAGTGGGTGCCCTCAACAGTAGAATGGCTATAGCTGAAGACAGAATCAGTGAGCTTGAAGATGAGCTGCAGGAAGCTTACAGGCAACAAAAAACCATGGGAAAAGACCTCAAAATAGCTCTAGGACAAATCAGAGACCTAGGGGGTAAATTTAAAAGAAACAACATAAGAATCATCGGAGTACCAAAAGGACAGGGAGGCAACCCCAATGAAAAAGCCACAGTTAAAGATATCATTGCTGAGAAGTTTGCAGACCTGAAGAATGCAGGCATCCAGATCCAAAGAGCCCGAAGGTTGCCAGCTAAAAGAGACCCTAATAAAAAAGACTCCAAGACATATCAAAATCAGAATGATAGATGCCATGGATATACACAATACTGCAAGCAGCAAGGTCAAAGAAGGAAATCACATACAAAGGAGCATCCCTTAGATTTACAGCAGACTTATCAGAGGAAACCATCCAAGCCCGAAGACAATGGTGGGATATAGTAAAAATAAAATTCAATGAAATGAACGCCTCACCAAGAATACTTTATCTGGCTAAGCTCTCACTCAAACTCGAAGGAACGATACACTATTTCATGGATAAACAACAGCTCAAGAACTTCATAGACTCAAAACCAAATTTAAAAGAAGGACTAAAGGGGCTACTGTAAGACAAGAAAAACCCCTATAAGCACAACAAATCGGTACAGAAAGATGGTACAAAACCCCACGACAATAATCTCTCTCAATGTCAGTGGTCTAAATGCACCAATTAAGACACAGAGTGTGGCAAAATGGATT